CCTCTTACGTGTGCATAACGGCCACATTCCTTGCTGGACTCGTTTCCATTAAAGGATTTATTCCACTGCCCATGGTGGTCTCTCTGCCCACATGTGGACAGCTTCATAACAGACCATGTTTATAGCTTTACTTTTCTGGTTTCTTTTTTGTTTTCAAATCTTCTGTATATCCCTAATACCTGGCAAGAGCCTGGTACATAGTGGGTGCTAGAAAATATTTAATGAATTCTGAATTACCTTTTCTGCTCTTTTCATTCTTTTGCACTTTCAGAAGCTGTGGCTCAACCACAGTACATAAAATCCAGTGTGGCCCAGGGAGTCACTAAGTGTTCCATGCGATTCCCAGGCACTTAATTCCCCATTCCCATAAACTGCGTGGAAAAGGGTGGGTGCAAGCTGGGCATGGTGGCGCCTGCCTGCAATCCCAGCACTGAGAAGTTGAGGCAGGAGGACTGGGAGTTGGAGCCCGCTCTGGGCAACTGAACAATTTAAGGAGACTCAAAGGTAGAAAAAAAATTTTTAAAAGGCCTGGGATGTAGCTCAGTGTAAAGCCCTTCACTTCAGTCCCTAGCACCAGGGTAGGTGTGTGGTTCCATTCAATTGCTTCCAAAAACTTGGTATATGAGTCGGTCTCTGCTGCCACTATGCCTTCCAGAACGAGGCCAACTGCCCATGCTTGCTACTGACCTGGGAAATTTGGTCATAAATGTTGTCACCCTTGGTACTGTTCAAGGAGGAGAGATGTCATGGAAGACACTCAGAAGTATGCCTTTTCTTCAAAGGTGAAAGGCTACAAAGAGGCATAGGTGCACAGAATACCAGCTGAAGATTAGTTACATTAAAATAAAGATATATGGCCTTCCCTATTATAATGTGCCTCTAATTAATCCAATGTGGACATCAGTGGTTGAATAAATTATTTGGGGGAGACTTTCTCAAGGGACATAGGAACCCAACACCATTCCCATTACTTCAATTACACATCCTTCTTCACGGTACAGAGGAAAGAAGGGAACAGAAACAGTCTGTCTTATGGTCATGCCAAAAATAGCACTTGACTTCCCTAACCTTTTTGTTTGTTTGTTTTTTTGTTTTGGTCTGAGACAGGGTCTCACTATGCAGTTCAGGCTGGCCTTGAGCACACTGTAGCCCAGGCTGGTCCTGAATTCGCAAGGATCCTCCTGCCTCAGCCTCCTGAGTGCTGCTGGGATTACAGGCGTGCACTACCATGCCTGGCTGATTGTTTTGTTTTGAAAGAATCAGAAATTAAACATGGTCAACAGAGTGACTTAAGGAAGCTCCACAACTGAGTCTTACTTCTTGAGTTACTCTCTCATCATGAAATTCTACATACAAACCCTGAAAGACCATCTTAAATCCAGAGGGACTTGTTATCTCCACAAACTATTCTTAAGTTTAGACATGTTGCTGTCAAGAATATTCTAATAGACACATTAAATAAAAAGCAATTGGTTTTGTGGGGGGGGGGTCCAAAAAAGAAACTAGGACAACAAACTCAGAAAACTGTCCCTGGTCTCCTTCCACTACACAAAATTTCATAGGGTCTCACTATGTAGTTCAGGCTGGCCTTAAACTCACTGTGTAGCCCAGGATTTCCAATTTTCTTCAACCTTCCTGCCTCAGCCTCCCCAGTGCCAAGGTCACAGGCATGCACCACCACACCGAGCTTGAAGCAACTTTTAGCAAACATGATCAACTGATTCTTTTAAGCTTTGGGATCCCAGGAGCCACTCGTTCATTAGTCCAGCACTCACATGCCTGCCTGTGACTCCTGGCAAACACCTGCGTTAGCAAATATTAGCTGGGGCAAAGGCAACAAGGGAACAGGGCCCTAGAGGGTTATGGCTCCCTGGCCAGGTTCCCTTCTAAACACTGTAAATGTAGATTCCACTACTAAAAGCCACAGGTTAATTCTATCATCACCTTTGGCTAAGGCACCCCAATTTTTCTAATGTATAAAAAATTTCCTTTTCAAAATATAAGGAATCACAGATGGTTATAGTTTTATAACGTTTTATTAAGAAACTAAGGCAAAACAACAGAATTCCAAAAAATTAAAATACAGAATTCTAATTTTAAATCTAAACATATATGAAAGCTACACCAAAAAACTAAAAATCAGTTTACCATTTTTACGAATAAAGAGGAATGGCTAAAATGCACTCACAGTAATTATTTCTTTTTCACTAGCCTCAGGTTTCCCTTCTTCCTACTTTGCTTGGACAGAATTTTCCTTATCTACCTATCTGTAGCCTGTAACTTTAGAAGAACTTTCATCTTCCTACATAGTTCTTCTCTGTTCCTCAATAAATACCTGAGCCCCTACCAATGAGCTTAGCCATGTGGACGCAAAGATGAGTTCATCTGAGGTCCTGTATCAGCTTATAGGAGCAAAGACACCAATAAATAATCAATAAATATAAATCATTTTACACAAGATACAAAATCATACAGCATAAGTATAGATAAAATATAAAGCTAAGAACCGGGCATGGCGGTGTACACCTGTAATCCCAGTTATTCAGGAGGCTGAGGCAGGAGGACAGCAAGTCTGAACATAGCATGAACAACTCAGTGAAATCCTGTCTCAGAGTACGATACAAAAGGACTAGGGATGTAGCTCAGTGGTAGACTGCTTGCCTAGCATTTTCAGGGCCCCAGTACTGAAAAAAATATGTGTGTATAAATAAATAAATACACACACAAATTAGGGAAATTTCAAGGAAGGAAAGATTACATTCAGCTAGAGGGACGGAGGAATGTTTTATGAGAATAACATTTAGGTTGAATATGGACTGTTCTTTCTAATAAAGGTTTCAAAGTGGCCCTGTCTACCACAGCCAAGCTGTAGTGGTCTTCACTTCTGGAACATAATCTTTTTAACACTAATCTGTAAAACTCTCTTCAAACTGTTCATTTCTTAAAATAATTTTTTAAAATACTGGACTACCATTAGTCTATGTAAACTTTTGGAGATTTAATTATAATTTCTATAAGATAGAAGGTTTTATTACTTATGAAATGCCACAGTCCAATCACATCTAAAGGTCAGGTTTCGGGCTGGGGATTTAGCTCAGCGGCAAAAGCGCCTGCCTGGCAAGCGTAAGGTCGTGAGTTCGGTTCCCGGTACCAGAGAAAAACCAAAAAAAAACAAAAAAAAAAAGGTCAGGTTTCTAATCACTGAGCCATGATTTCAAATATGCAACAGGGGAAAACCTACTTGCTTTAGGTGCTTTATCAAGCTTGCATTTATACTTATACGAGAAAGAGATGAAATAAATAGCTTAGCATCCAAAGGTCAAAGGATGGAAAAATAATGGCAACTATGAAATCATATTAGCCACAGAATTCCTTGTATGAAAAGTTTTAATTATGAGCCAATGAACATTACAGAATTTAAGCCTTAATTTCTTTCCTATGTAAAACCAGATAATTCGAACAGCTTAACTCAAATATGACAAAAACTGTAGTATGAATAAGAGTAATAGTAATGTTTGCTTCCACATCTGCATGCTTCATTAGAGGACTAAAGGAAGTGCTCCCGGTTTCCCAAGGCAACGCAAATTCAATTATACATTTTTCCTGACCACAGTTGCAGCTGAAACACAACAAACAATTCATCCACAGCACAGCGCTTCCCCATTATTCTTTCCTTTACCCTCAATATCCTTGTGAGGTAGTGAAGGGAGGGAGCAAGAATTCTCTATTTTGCAGATAAGAAAACTCCGGGTGAACTTTATAATGTTCTCAACCTTGCTGGCATACTCCAAGCATCAGGAAATTTTTTTTTTTAAATCTTTGTGACCCGGTCATATCCCCGACCAACATCAGAATCTTAGGACATGGGACCCAAGCATAAGTATTAAAAAAAATACAGGCCAATGTGACTCCCAAGCACAGCCAAGACTGAGAAGCATGGTGTAGGGGATTCATACTCATCTTCAGGTGGACTGTCTTCTACCTAACTGCTCTCTCAGCCCCGGTGGAAAAGAATCTCCTTGCACAGTGCAGCAGACTGTTTTAGTCACCTGGAGAGGACAGCCACTCTCCGTCCCTAGTGACAAACCTAATCATCAGGTCATTCCCCTGATGCTCATGCTGTGAACATCCATTTTATAGAACTTGCTAATGGGCAAGGAGGGAATTCAATTCTTTAAGAATGGCTTGTTGTTAGATATTTAGGTGATCTCTGATCTTAGGTTCAATACAGAATAACCATGTGTTTTTGTTTTCCAGTCAGCACCTTCAAAACGTGGTTACAAATGAATGCTTACTAACAAGACCCAACAGAAGTTATGAACATATCTCCTAGAAAAGCTCTGGGAACTGGCCATACCACAGCTCCTAAAAGGCAACAAATACTTAAGGGGACTTGATCACTTTTTATCTAATCTTCAGCCGAAACCAATTCTCTTTCAATCAAATTTTACACTGTGTCAAACTGAGTTGTTCAACCCCAAGAAAAATCAATTTGTGTCAACCATGTTCTCTAATACATTTAACATGTAATTTCACCCTACAGATTTCTTCTTGGCATGGTTATCAAACAGAATCTTTAGCCGGACATGGTGGCGCATGCCTATAATCCTAGGCATTTGAGAGGCTGAGGCAGGAGGATCACTGTGGGTTCAAGGCCAGCCTGGGCTACATGAGTTCAAGGCCAGCCTGGACTGCACAGTGAGACCCTGTCTCAAAACGAAAACAAAAACAAAAACAAAAACAAACAAAAAAACCCAAAACTTTAACAAATTTCACCTTTTTAAAGGACATACCACATATACATAATAAATATTTGTAAACCTTTCAGGTAGGAAAAACAGATCTTTGTTCTATGGCTGAAATCTCCTGCTTCACAGGAGTATTGATAACTTTAATTCTCAAGGAACAAGCTGTTTGCTGTTCCTAATTTTAATAACAATTAAAATAAAATATATATATATGCCAGTAATTTAAAAAGTACAAAAATCTTGCTTGCATCAATTATTATGTGTCTGAAATGTACATTTTCAAACAGAAAGATGTTTTGCTTTTCTTCTAACAAAAGAAAAATCACAGCTCATGTGTTTTGGATTAATTCAAAAGGGTATTAATGAAGAGTTAAATCTTATCAAATAGGAAGTAATATTAAACTCTTCTGCAATGGAACTTTCAAAATATTGCCACCTGAAGCTTTTAGCACAAGAGCTTGGATTTCAAGTCCCGAGGGAGCAGTGACCTAGAATGAGATTGAGAACATTCTTGGCCGGGCGTGATGGTGCACGCCTGTGATCCCACCACTCAGGAGGCTGAGGAAAACGAACAAAAAAAAGAACATTCTTAACCTGGACTCAGGTTGGCACTGTTTCATCAGATGGGTGAGTAAACATTTTCTTGATTGCCACAATGAACAAATGGAGGCTTAGGGTTTTACATGATGTAAACAATATGAAATTAAAGGTTTTGATAATACGTACAGCACTGTAAAGCTAGAAAATAAAGACCATTAATGAATTCTCTAGTAGCGTTCATAGTGAGGACATTTACTGTTATGAGACATTTTCTTAGAGGGCCAAAAAATAAAACTGGATACCAAGAGATGCACATTCTACTATTATGTTTAGATCACCCTAGCACACATAATTAGAAATACATTTGCTTCCTGTAGGAAATTAAGGATTACTTACTATAATTCTGATTAAAAAAATTTTTTTTAACAATCCCAATGATGACAGACTAAGAGCTATGGAAACTTTTTAGGCCAAAAATAATACAAAATGAGCCAATATAACACATTTCATCTTAAAATCTTCTTCTTTGTGGCTACCCTACTGTCCCCAAATGTTATTAATTTTGTACCATATAGTGGTTTTTAAGAAACTGAACTAGAACAAAGCAGTCCCTGTCTTTTTTTTTTTTTTTTTTTACATTTTTTACACACATATTATATATACAACTTTTAAAATAGCTGCACAATTTTATTTCTCATTGCTAGAGAAGTGCAGTCCGGGCAGACCATGCTTCTCAATATATTAAAAATATGAAATAAACCCAACCAGTTTCATACTTTCCTAATGGTCAGGCTCGCTGGAAAGGGGACTGGAGAAAGAGCAGGCAGTTGTGGATACAATCCATCTTTCTTCACAAGCACACCACCTTAGAATCTGGTTATTTCTTTATCTTATCCCTTTGACAGCATCACTAACTCTCACCTAAAGCTGGAAAGAACACATTGCTAGCTTAGAGACAGAATCTGTTGCAACATGCATATGCCAACTGCCCACTCAACCAACTGCAACCCTGAGGATTTTTCTGGCCCAGTGGAAAGAGGAAACGCTAAAGTGATCTTTGTTGTAGAGCTGCTTCTCCAGCTGACTTCATGTTTTTCAGGATGTTTCTTGGGCATGCACATATGACACTGTCACTTCATGATTCTAATTTCCACAAGTAGATTTCTTCTCCATTGTCTTTGATCCCAAGAAAGCCACTGTCATCCATCCAAAGGTTTTCCAAGGTAAACCAAAGTCACCTCTGTGTTGCCATATACAGCAGAAACTGCTGGATATAAGCAGACCTTCGGAAGTCCTCGAAAGGCTACCCCCAGGAACTCGTATCCACGTTCAAAAGCTAAAGTCTTATCCTCCATATCCAAGATGACTCGGATTCTCTCTCCTATCTGCAAACAGACAACAAAGAAGATTAGAAGAAAATCCACTAAGGGCACAGCTAGAACATGATACAAGTCAAGATGTTAAAAATACTATGAAGTAAGTATCTTAAAAGGTATTTAGAAGCATCAGAATAAAAACTTTCTGCTCAGGAAGAAGCACCAAGAAGAACATACATCATCTTCATCGTGAATGCTTACTGGTCATTTTTAAAAAAAGATTGATTGATTGACTGATTGATTGGTTGATTTTTGCGGTACTGGGGATCGAACTCACGAGCTTGCGCTTGCCAGGCAGGTGCTTATGCCACTGAGCTATATCCCCAGCCCTTAAAGATTTAGATATATATTTAATGACTAACAATGTAAATGTTTCTCAAATTTTCCTCAGATGTAATTTACTCTTGGTTAAGGTTTTTCTCAAGGAAGCTGGCAGTAAAATTTATCTTGGTATATTTTACCAAAATGGTCATCTAAATATCTCCTGTTCAGTGAGTACAGAATTTACGTTGTAGATGATGAAAAAGTTTGGGGTATAGAAAGCAGTGATTGCTACACACATTGTAAATATATTTAATGTCATTTAATCTTATACATATACATTGTTAAAGTAATATGTTATATATGTTTTATAATAAAAAAATCACTGTAATAAAGAACACATAGGTTTTAAAGTTTACAAACCAGTTCTATACACAATGTAGAATTTATGTAATTATGAATACTCAAATAGTTTAATTCTACATTTAATACATTTATCAAATAGTCAATTTGTGGTCTATTGCTCTTTAAAGAACAGGAGTGCTAACTGTTAAACCATACTAGAAACTCAATATAGTCAGTTCTTTTCATATTATGAAAAGTAAGCAACAAAACAAGGATGCTTCATCTTTACAGTTTGTGTCTATACAGAATGTTGCATCTATATACTTAGAGAAAGGAAGTTCTAACTTTTTGCCAGGCATGGTAGCACGTGCCTGTAATCCCAGCACTTGGGAGGCTGAGGCAGGAGGATCGTTGAGAGTTTAAGACCAGCCTGGGCTACAAAGTGAGCTCAAGGGCAGCCTGAACTGCACAGTGAGACCCTGTCTCAAGAAGACCAAAACACAACCAAATAAAACAAAACAAAAAACTAACTTTTCAATCAAAAATAAAAATGTAGGGCCAGGGGATATAGCTCAGCAGCACAATGCCTGCCTGGTAAGCGCAAGGTTGTGAATTTGATTGCTGGCACCAAAGAAACAAATAAAAATAAAAATGTAACACTTCCTGATTATGGTACCTTCTGCAATTGTCATTTACTTCCCTTCATTGTCCTTTTTTTTGGTACCAGGAATCAAATTCAGGACCTTGTGCTTGCCAGGCATGCACTGTGCTGCTGAGCTATGTCCCCAGCCCCCTTCGTTGTCTTTCTTGTCACAAGTAACTGCCAACATTTGGATTTTTTTCTTCCTTTTGCCCAACTCACAGATTAACTCACACCTTATTTTATGCACCTACCTTCACTGCTGCTATCAACAAAATATGCAAACACCAAGAAACGAGAAATGAAATGCGAGTATTTTGTTGAGTAATCATTTTGGGTTTTATTTGTATTTAGTCCTCACATCAAGCCCAGGAGTCCTCCCTATTCAGACGACAAGACTAAGAAGCATAACTAATCCTGTTGGAATTTACAACTCATCTTTGAGCACACAGCACATAGGCAGCAGGGGCACAAAGCAAGAGTCTCACTAGATTTGGGTGTTACCAGTAAATAAACCCTGGGGATGGCAGAGCCCCCGGGAAGTATGAGAAGAAACCCCAGAAGCAAGGGAACCACTGAAAGGGTAAGCCCCCCAATCTGAGAAAAAACTGCTGATCTCCTTGTGAGACTACAAGGATTACACGCACAGGGGAAATCCCCAGGGAACCAGCCTGAAAAAGCAGCAAAGAAAGAACTAAAAGCTGAAAAAAAAATAGGCAAGGACATTAGCAGTTGGACACCACATGACAGAGTTTATATAGTTCAATCCAGGCAATTTAACTGCCCACGATTGCAATAAAAGCTGTAATTTTCAGAGAGTAAAGCAGTTGCTAGATAAACAAAACACCTAGTATATATTACCTACCTGTCCAGTTTTCTTTCTTTCTTTCTTTTTTTCTAACCTGGTCAGTTTTCAATTTAAAAAAATTAGGAAAAGAAACAGGAAAAGTGTATTTCATATGGAGGTAGGGGGTGGGCTAACAGACTCAGAGGCGCGTAAGTGCTACATTTGGCAAAGACTTCAAGTACTTATGAAGTAATTAAACAGGGAATCTCAATGGAGGAAAAAAAACTACGAAAAAGAAACGAAATGAAAAGACTACAACTAAAGAGTACAATAACCAAAACTCATTAGTTCAGTAGCAGAGGCAAAATGGCAGAAAAATGATGCAATGAGCTTGAAGAAATTATCTAAATTATCTGAAACAAAGAATACAAAAAAACAGCTGGGGGAGGTGGAGATAACCTCAGAAGCAGAGTGACAAGAACACTATCAAGTACATCAACAATTACATTAAATGTAAATGAACTAAACACTTCAAAAGGCAGAGATTGTGAGACTGGATTAGATATTTTATTTTATTTTTTTTGTCTTTTTGAGACAGGGTCTCACTATGGAGTTCAGGCTGGCCTTAAGCTCACTTTGTAGGCCAGGCTGGCTTCAAACTTGCAACGATGGGGCTGGGGATTTAGCTCAGTGGCAAAAGCGCCTGCCTGGCAAGCGCAAGGTCGTGAGTTCGGTTCCCGGTACCAGAGAAAAAACAAAAACAAACAAACAAACAAACAAAAAAAAATTGCAACGATTCTCCTGCCTCAGCCTCCTGAATGCTGGGATTACAGGTGTGTGCCACCACGCCGGGCTGAGACTCGGTTAGACAAAAGATGCAACTACAGGTTATCTAGGGGCTCCACTTTAAATATATGATAGTCTGGAAGTAAAAATGGGGGCGTGAAAGAAAGTACTGCATAAGCCTAAGAAAGCTGGAGCAGCTACACTAAAATCAGACAAAACAGACTTAAAGACAAGGAATACTAGAGTGAAAAAACAATCATTTGATAGTGTTGAAAGAACTAATCAGGCAGAGATATAACAATTAGAAATGTATATGTACCTAATAACCGATCTGTTCACCTATGAAAGAACTGACAGGATTGAAAGAAGAGAGACAAGGTAGTAAGCCTAGTTCGAAACTTCAATACTTCACTCTGTAACAATATAGAAGACTTGAACCTTATCAACCAATTGACCTAATTGTCATTAAAAGAATATTCCATCCAATAGAATACACTTGTTTTTAAGCAAACACAGAACACTCATAGAACAGATTATATGTTGGGAATAAAATAAATCTCAATATAAAAGGACTGAAATCAGAGTATGTTCTTTGAAAAACAAAAACTTAAGGAATTCTCACGATAAAATCGTGGCAAAGGCTGGGGATACTGTTCAGTGGCACAGTGCCTGCCTGGCAAGCAGAAGGTCGTGACTTCAACTCCCAGTAGGAAAAAAAAATCCAAAAGGTAGTAGTAGGACTTTATCTTCAATGATTATTAAATCCAGACACCCCTCTCTGTAAGGTGTTTGCAGAGTCTAAAAGGACATTAAGGAAAGGATTTCATTAAAGACAATCCTTCTAGTTTTTCTACCTCAGGAAATGGAATATATTTTTAGTTCTCCTTTAGTATGCCTAGATTATCCTTGAGGGCACAGATTTCTAGATATATGCAGCCCTCAAACACATAATCTATAGCTCTTTAAGACTTCTAATTTCTTACCAAAATTGTTGTGTTTTATACTCTGCCAGTACTATGGCAATATTTCTTTTAGAAATAAAAGTTATGATATAACTTGAGGCTAAGGTGAAAAGAATAAAAAATACAAGTTTGCCTGTCTTACAGCAATTTGTAAATCCACAAAGATCAACAAGCAGCACAGTGTGAGCATGCATGTTACGTACACACGTACATTTGCTGGGGTGAGCAATCTTTTTTTTTTTTTTTTTTTTGGACCAGGAATTGAACTCAGGGTCTCGAACCTGCCAGGCAGGCGCTGGTGCCACTGAGCTACATCCCTGGCCCTCTAGCGTAAGGAATATATAGTTTAAAAAAAGATTTACATGTGGCATAACACAGGAAACATGACAATCTCCAGCAAGAGCTGGTAAACTGCAGCCCCTGAGCCAAATCTATAATAAATAAGCCCATATATAAACACATTAATAAGCACAGCCATGTTCACTTACTCACATAATATAGACATCTGATTTCATGCTGTAACAACGGAGTTTAAAGTTGTGACAGGGACCACATGGACTGCAAAGCCTAAAACATTTACTCTCTGGTCAGAATAGAAAGTCACCAAGCCCTGATGTGAGCAAAGATGGCCTCTCAAGGTCAAATATACATTAGGAAACAGATACTGAGATACATCACATACTATTTACAACCCAAAACAACAACAACGAAGTCACAGATACTATATAAATATCTGGAAATTTAAAACAAATGAGCTATGAGTTGATAAAGGCCCATAGTTGAGCAGACCCAGTCTCTCACCTGGTATTTTGGTGCATTGTTGCACTGTGGGAAACTGCCATTGACTTCCCCATTATGTAGTAAATTATTGTCCACCAGATTCCAGCCCCAGCTCTGGTCATCACTGCCCAACAATGCCACGTAACCTTGGCACTGCATGGGGGCCCGCTTCGTGGCAATTCCGATCACTGCCACGGTGCCTAAAGGGCCCTCCCACCATACTTCCCACGCATGGCGGCCCTCACTGAAACCGATCTTGGTCCTTGCACCATCAGTGCTCTGAGCGATGGGGTTTCGGTGTAAGGTAAAGCCATTCTTCTTAATATAGACATTCCTGGAGCAGTCATTAGTGCTGAAGGCATGTTGGAAAGCACGTACCTGAAGGTGGAAAAACCAGAAAAGGAGAAATTTGATTTGTCTTAAATATTAAAAAGTATTCAAATTTCAGAAATGTTTTAAAATAATGTTTAAAAACATGTTTTAAAGTAATTAATGGAATTATGTATTTTTAAGTAATATAGTAAGTATTTCCATATAATGGCTAAAATTTCATAATGGGATACTAAAAAAATGTCGTATAACATTAAAAATAACTCTGGACTGAAGCCTGGTGTGATGGCCCCATAGTCTCAGCTGCTGAGAGTAGGTCAGGGGGCAGTTGCTGAAGCAGGAGAGTATCACTTGAACCAGGAGTTAAGATCAGCCTAGGCAACACACTGAGACTCCATCTTAAAGAAACAAACTGCCAACATTTTTTTTTCTTTTTGAGACAGGGTCTCGCTATGCAGTTCAGGCTGGCCTTGAGCTCACTTATAGCCCAGGCTGGTCTCAAACTCACAATGATCCTCCTGCCTCAGCCTCTTGAGTGCTGGGACTACAGGTGTGTGCCACCATGCCCAGCTACTGTCAACATTCTTATCACTGACCAAATTCTAAACTACTATAATTCTCCAAATAACACATTAAAGAGCCAGGCATGGTGGCTCACAACTATAATTCCAGTGCTTAGGAAGCTGAGGTAGGAGGACTGCCATGAGCTGAAGGCCAGCCTGAGCGACATAGTGAGGTCAAGGCCAACATGAACTACATAGGGAGACCCTGTCTCAAAGGAATAAAAACACAAACATTCTAAGTAACATAAAAGAATCCTTGTATTTTACAGACAATACTGAAATGTTTATGGCTGAAATACTGACATGTAGGAATTACTTAGAAATATCAGTGGAAGAGTATAAGAGTAAATATAAAGCCAGACTTGTCTTGAGTCCTTGGTAAAGGACTTTGTGATAAGTAGGGGGAAATTCATTAACTATTTTCCTTACTTTTGTTTATATTTTCTATTAAAAAAAAAAGTGTGCTTTTTTTCATACTGGCAATGCTATTATCACTAAGAATTTTATTTTGGGACTAGGTGTGCAGCTCAGTGTGGCACACTTGCCTAGCATGTGCAAGGTCCTAGGTCAGTGGTGGCAGACCTATGGCCACCCTGTGCCACAGCATGCAAGCCAAGTTGCTCCAGCATCTCCCCAGCAGCCACGCATCAGATATTCAGGTGTAATTACAGTGTTCACACTCTGCAATAAGTAGATTTGGGATTGCAGTTTGGGCAAAGGTCTCTGCCATCACTGTCCACACTGTGTTTTGTTTCAGTGACCACCCTTCCTCTACCCCCTCAAATTCTCCAAACTCAGTCCTTAATCCTAAATTATTTCCAGAGCTATCTTTCCAAAACACCACCTTTATTGCATCTTTTCCCTGTTAATAATCTTTTAGCAATTCCATATTTAGTACCACAATCAACTGTACATTCTTCTGCCTAGCTGCAAAGCCCTCCAGATTGTACTCCTCTATTTCCTTTTCTACCTTCCTGTGTGTTGTGTTGTATCTGCTTCCCTCCTCCCACACATCCTCTAACACCACCTCCATGAAGCTATTATTAATCAGGGCCACCCAATCCCATTCATTTCTCTCTTGAATTCCCACCCACCATGGTCTGCACCATGCAACACTTAATTATAGCGAGCATTTTCTAACATACCTCGAACCACTTCTAGTAAACCATACATGGGGGCAGGGCACACTAATCAATGGAAACTGTAGGAAAGACGGAGGACAGAAGAGCATGTTAAACAACACCATGGGAATGAAAACAGCAAAATCCAGGCAGACAACATAAACTGCAGCAGTAGACAGTGGGAGGAGATAATCTAGACTAAAATAGCCTTCTGAGATATATCAGTTGTTTGCCATAGGTACCTTTGTAAACCTTGATTAAATAAACTATAAATAAAAAATACAGCATTTGACATCTACCAGACAACTGAAAATTAGTGCTGTAATCCCAGCACTCAGGAGGCCAAGACAGGAGGACTGGTATGAGTTTGAGGCCAGCCTGAACTACACGCAAGACTCTGTCTCAAAAACAAAACAAAACAGGGAACTTAGCTCAGTGGTGCAGCATCTGCCTGGCAAGCCAGAGGTCCTGAGTTCAATACTTGGTACCCAAAAAACAAAACAAAACAAAAACACCAGGCTTGGGGATATAGCTCCGTGGCACAGCGCCTGCCTGGCAAGTGCAAGGTCATGAGTTCAATTCTTGTACCAAAACAAAAATCCCACCAAAACAAATAAAACAAAGTCCAAACGGACTGAGGACTGCATTTCAAAAGACCCTGCATGTCCAGGTTAAGACAGAAAAATGGAAGCGTGTTTTCCAGGACTCTAGGTTTATATGGATGTGTGACAAGTTGATTCCAAACACTGGAGTTGGATTCTGCTGTTCTGGGTTTCTTTTTTCTTCTCCCTCCCATTTCACCAGCCCCCTCTCTCCCTTCCTCCCCCTTCTTGTAAAGGCAGTTGCTTGTCCCAGGAAGGATTGCACTTTCAGTTATATGAAATCTTTCTTTTCTGAAATGTCATGGCTCCATTCATATTTTTGTCTTATTCTTCCAATTGGGATTATATAACGTTCAGAGCTCTTGTATTTGCAAGCTTGGAAGGGCGCGGACTTTGAAAGAGTGTCTTGGTTTCACTGTTTTTGTTTTGTTTCTGTTTTTGTTTTATATGAAGCTTGTGGATTAAACAATAAATTTCTAAATTAAAAAAAAGACCCTGCATGATATATCTAGTTCTAGTTTACCTTTACAACTGTATTTCCGTCCATTTGACCTAACTAAACTGAATATATATATACTCCCCTGCAGTGCTGGGGATCAAATCTAAGGTCTTGCACATGCTAGGCACCCTACCAGGGCGCTGCACCCTCGGCCCTGTTTTACATCTTCAGCTTAGATCTTTCCTCAAAGTTCCAGTGTCTAACAGCTGCCAATCTGAAACCTCTGATATCTCAGACACCATAAATGCTACTCTCCAATCAAACTTGCTGCTACTCCTCTAAAATCTAGCCCACCTGATCCCTATATTGTGCAATCCAGATACCTAGGAGTCAGCCTTAGCTCCTCCCTCTTTCTCATCTGTTTCACATTTATTGCCAAATTCCGTAGACTTTACTTCTTAAACTTTTCAACTTCTACCCATCTCTTTCATTGTTTCCTAATTAACCTTTGTAATTTTGAAGGTCTTCCCCAACCTGTTCTCCCTGAAGTCAGAAGTACCCTCTTGAAAATGCAAAATAAACATCACCAGGACCCATGCCTCTAAGTCCCTCTTGCTTCCAATTTGAAATGGCTTCTCTGTGGTCTGTGTATTTCAGCTTATATCAAACCAGCACCACCTTGCTCTCCATGCTCCAGTCCCACTACATATTTCTGTTCTTCATACTCATCGGGTTTCCTCCCAAAAGGCTCTTCTCTCTCCCCTGGGCCTCTTTTATCCTTATTCTTCAGGTCTCAGTTCAGTGTAACCGACTTCCTATAAGAACACACTCCCTGACCTCCCTACCTGGGTCAAATCCTCTACTACTGACACCATGCATCTCTCCTTTCCAGCAATTTTCAGCTCCTGCTTTACACTGTATCATTACATCGGAATTTAAGGCAAGGCATTGTAAGTCTGTTTTTTATTCAGCAATACCTCTGCAAAACTGAGCATGGTGCCTTTGCTTTCCTCTTCTGGTCAGAGTACTTCCTCTTCATAAAGTGCTCAAATCTAGACTACACGGTTGTGCAGGTCCATAATCTCAGCACTCCAGAGACTGAGGCAGGAGAATCACTACAAGTTCAAGACCAGCCTGGGCTACAAAGTGAGCTCAAGGCCAGCCTGAACTGCATAGAGACCCTGTCTCAAGAAGACAAAAAAAACCCCCAAAAAACCAAATCTATTTTGTCTTTAAAACTCAGCTCAATACAACTCAATCTCAAACGTTTTCCAATTTTCCACTCAACTCATATTTTTCCTTTTACTAAACTTCTAGTATACTTTTTACGTCTCTAACAGTAAGAAGCAATGTGTACCATGCATTAGTTATTTCTATACATTTTTTACTCCTTTACTAAACTGTGGACTTCTCTACTAGCCTGCTTCCTTTTGAATTAATCCTTTCATCACTACAATATTTTAAAAAATCCTGTAACATGAAAATGAACTATGATTAGAACAAGCCCACAACAAATATTATAGTAGTATACAATAAGTATTGTATAGTACACTAAGTAGAAAGGTAAACAAAGCATTAAAAAGTTAAGAAAATGAAACTATCTCTGGAAGGATATAAACCAAATGGTAATACAGGTTGCCTCCAAGGAGGGGAACTAACAAGGGCAAAGGGAAACATTCTGCTTTACATTATTTTGCTTCTGTTGAAACTTGACTCACACAGACATTATCTATTACATGTTACATGAATCTACACTCATTTGAGCATATCCATTACATAATGAATTACAAGACAACTTAAAATAAGCAAAACCAATAAACTTTATGGTAATTTTTTAATTAAAAAAATAAAAACTTAATAAACCCACACATTTATTAAAACTGTAATCTTCTGCACTTTCCTATGTAAGTTCCTACTGGTACTATGCACAAATATTGTCCTAGTAAATGTTATTTCATTTAATTAGAAAACAGTTTTTTGATAGTTGATATACTTAATAGCAATGCTCCTTACCCTTTTTCTTTCTTTTCCTGTTTTTTTTTTTTTTTTGTTTTTTTTGGGGTTTTTTTTGGTATGTGTGTGTGGTACTGGGGACTGAACACCAGGGTTTTTGCACATCCCAAGCAGGTGCTCTACCACTAATCAATAACCCCAGCGTTTTTGCGTTTTTATTTTATTGACACAGGGCCTCACTATTGAGATAGGCTAATTTCAAACTTGTGATCTGCCTGCCACCACCTCTCAAGTGGTGGGGATTACTTGTTTTATTTGTTTTGGTTTTTTTTGTTTTGTTTTTTTTCCGGAACCGGGAATGGAACTCACGACTTTGCACTTGCCAGGCAGGCGCTGTGCCGCTGAGCTAAATCCCCAGCCCGCTACTTGTTTTAATATAGAAAAGTATATTTTACATCTATTTCACCTGGAAAAATTTACTTCTTACTCTGACCTTCACTGGCATGTTTCCCCTTTTTTCATGCATTTTGTTTCTGGTTTACCACACAGCAGGTGAGACTTAATCCTTTCTCATACATGCTCTATACTGAAGAGCTGTTACCAACTGAACCCATGCCAGTGAGTGGCCCTCTGTTTAAGCGGCCCGAAGAGAGGATCCTCTGAACCCTACCACAGCCTGTCACTTGGCATTTTTAAAAATTTTTAATTATGAAGGTAGTAGAAATATGGACAAGAATCTGGGAAACAGCTGCAAAATTGGAATGAGCGCATTATATGACAAATACAGCAGAAGAGAAATATCACCAAGCTAAAACTCTTAAAAAGTTAGCAAGGAAGTCGCCAATAACAACAGCACAAGGCAGCACTACGGTAGTTATACGGTGCCGATGGAAGGATGTTCTACGAAAGCCTGTTATCTGAAAAGTTTTAGCAGGATGCCCAAGACCATGCTCTCTTGTAAGCCTGAAATGTAATGGAGGGAACTTGGGCGGAAATACGTTTAAAAACTGTGATCAATCAGAGCTTAGAAAAGGCGAAGCGAACGCAAAATCTCCGAAACTAAATCCACACTAAGGCAGCCGAGATGATGTAATGTAATAAAAGTCTATGTGCAGGCAGGGGAGGAAAACACGAGAGCAGAGTATTAAAACGCCCCGGAGCCGGTGCTCCGTCTTTAAGGAGAAAAGACTGTCGAAAGTAGACCGAGAGCTGGGAATCAGCGATGGGCAAACACCTAGTCTTTTAAAAAGTGGATCACGGAAGTGGGGTGGGTTAAGGAGCAGAACTTCCATCCAAGGGAAAGAGGATGCTTATGGAGGGGGAGCGAGGAGGGCACCGACTGTGGGAAGGCGGGCCGGCGAGCCGAGGCGTCAGACCCAGGGGCTGGCAGGAGCCGCACCGAGCGCGCGCGGCGGCCGGGCTCCCTCACCTTGGCCTTGTAGCTGGGCAGGTTGCAGAGGATGTCCGTGCGCAGAGCCTCCTCGGCCAGGCTGCGGGCGCACAGGCTCCGCCACACCTCGCTGTTCTCGTCGCCGTGCAGGCAGCGGTACCAGTGCTTGCACACCAGCGCGCAGCTCCGCAGCTCCGACAGCTCCAGGTAGGAGAACACCAACTCCAGC